CCCCAAAACCCCAAAACCCCAAAACCCCAAAACCCCGCAATGTTCATGAGAAGTTGAATGTGGTTAAGATGAAGATACACTTTTGTGTAGATTTATTGTCCAGTAATTATTTCAACTCCTTCAAGATCACTTTGTGAAAAGATTCCTTCAGCAGTATATTGGTCTATTTGGCAATCATGGATGTCAACAGATGTGAGGCTTGATTTCAAATCTGGGGAAGTTGCCAATCCTTTGATCAAATTTTTGAACTGGTCAAGGGAATAATCCCAGTCGCTTAAATGAGTAGCTCCTCATCCGTACAAACTTAGCTGGTTGATCTTACAATTTTGAAGAGCTTTTGAGAAATTAGGAATCTTTGGGATAGATAGCTCACAAAATTCTATACCCAACACCTTAACATGCCTGAAGTTTGAAACCAATCTCTTAAGTTGGCGATCATTAAATTTAAATGCTTGAAACTGTGCTTTTACACTGATTTTAGAGTTTAGTTTAATCAATGAATTGAAGTGATAAAACCTCTTTGGCTCTAAACTTTCCCTGAGAGAAACAAAGAAAAATATAATTTTATTCGGAAACGAAGAATCCATAAAGTTCATAACAGTCCTGTTTCTGTGCTGAATATTAAACATTAAGACCACATTCAGATCATAGACTTTTAAAGGGCTGCATTTTTGAGTTAATCTCATATATTCTGATTCATCTCAGAATAAACTGATCATATTCATAAAAGTCCCGCATAAGTATGAATCCGAAGGTTTGCTTTCTGACGCCTTTGTGAAAGTATTGTGATAAGTGTTTCAGTACATTCTAAAATCTCGCTTGTTGCTCTTTGCCACCAGGTACTTCTCGAGACTATACAATTAGAATAGGAAGTGGAAGATAGATTCCAAAGAACATAAGAATTTGTTAAGTTTTAAACAAATTAAATTTCTAAGATTCATTAAAGAGCAAAAACAGGTTTGACCCTAAGCTTGGTTTATTAGAGACATTATAAGTTGGAATAAAATGGAGAAGCATAGAGAACTCAAGTTCTTGAACTCTTTACAGTGTTAAGATGCATCTTAAAATAGGATATTGCAATCGGTTAAAAATCACAAAGTGGTAGATTTTATATATAGTAAAGAGTTCAGAGCTAATCCTAATAAGAGTACCAGCTTATAATATTGGGTCTTCATAAAAAATAATGGTGTATCTTTCATCTTTTGTTAAATTGCATTTTTAATAATAAGGTTTCCCGGTACAAATAGTTTCTTAATTTTTGTAGATGCTCCAATTTAGCAAACTTTAAGCCCGAACTTTCTGAGAAAGTCTAACTAAGCTCAAACTTGCCTGCCAACCTGTGCTTGCTTTTCTTCTGAGATTTGAGCTGTGCTTTCCATTTATTATTATAAATTTATTTGATTTTTAAGAGAAGGGGTTTTGGGGTTTTGGGGTTTTGGGGTTTTGGG